TACATAAAATTATTAAAATATAAAACAGTTGTTTTCAAATTGTAACACTATCATTTTATTATCATATAATAATACTAAAATTGTTTATTAAATAAATGCAGACTTGGTGAGCATGCAGAAAGAAACTTTACCAACCAACCCTAACATTTTGACTGATCAAATTTACATAAATAATTTGATAAATTATATATATATATATATATATATATATATATATACAGTGTATATATAAATATATATATATATATATATATATATATATATATATATATATATATATATATACTGTATATATATATATATATATATATATATATATATATATATATATATTGATGAACAATGAATCATGGCTGCTTAAATTGATCATCATTATGTAGTCTAAATATGTATCATATTTACTGTACATGTAATGTCCCTCAGTGTTTTTCAGATAAATATGGTTCTTAATATAAATTTAAAATACTGATAATTTTAAAAGGCATCAACGTACTACTTTTTGTTAAGAGTGTTGTCAACTGCTTTTATTTAATTGACTGCAACTAAACGGCTTTGAAATTAAAAAGGGTGTTTATAATTTAAAGTCGTTCCCAACAATTCTTTAAGTTAGAAAGATAAATTAAGTATGTATACAACATACTGTGACTCTACAATAGCAAGGACAGTCGCTTTTCATTAAAAAGAAGATAAAAGAACATGTCACACTTTGTCACCGTTTCTCTCTCTTCCAGGAAATGTCTTTTGAACTTGTCCTTGTGTTCCTTTTTCATGGAATAAAGCTCATGCGACCTCACACAATAGAAAGGTCACGAAAGATGAATACAGTTATCTGCCTACAGGGCTTTGTACTGATCTCATAAAAGGATTTTTCGATAAAACATAGATAAAGATGACAATACACTTGAGAGACATCCATGTCTTTTTGAGGACACTTCTCCCTGTGAATTCAGCACCGAGACCTTCAGAGTGCTCTCGCAGTAACACTGGTGGGATCCAGGTCTGATTTTCAAAGGGTTCTAAATGTCACATTCTGAGTCACACCTTTGTAGAAGACCACTAAGGCCTATTGGCAAAAAAAAAAAAAAGAAGAAGAAAAAAAATGAATAGAAAGCATTTTAAATTTTTCATCCACCACATCAAAACAAATAAAGCATACACATACTCCAAATATAGCCACAGCAAACAGCAGCCACATGTGGCTCTGGGCTTTAGCAGCACTTTGATGTCACTATAGTGAGGCTCTTATTTCCATCCACGTCATTCAGATGTAAGCAAAGGACAATGAAGTATATCCCCCAATCAATGTCAAACCAAGTAGATGTTAATCAAAGTCAGAATCATCAGAATTATAGTTATAATCAGTTTATAAATATACAAATAGCAATAGTGCTTTTGACAGGCTGCAGTGAAAAAGTTTGAGTTTTTTTTATGTTTTTGAAAGTTGTTTATACTTACCCAGGCTTTATTTGTTCGAAAATATGGCTTAATAAATTGGTGTGGAAACGGTGATACTTTTTTTGCATGATTCTTTGATGAACAGTACATTTAAAAGAGCAGAATTGTGAAATACAACTTAATGCATCTTAGCTGAATAATTATTTGTATTATTATTATTTTTAAATCTTACTGACCACAAACTTTAGAATGGAGTGTACATCAAGTTGAAATCAAAACGTGTTGTTTAATAAGCATAGATTATTCAAGGAAGCAATTTGTAGGAGAAACTACATCTAAAGTAGAGCTGCACGATTAATCATTCAAAGGTCTTGATCTCGATTCAAACACCCACAAGATTTAATAATGGCAACGATTCGGCTGTTTATTTAACCTTTGACAAGTTCAATCACAGCAAAACATTCAAGCTTTCGTGCTGAACCAAAGAGAGAGAGAGAGCAGTTGTCATGTTAAACAGCATTCCAAACAGTCTTTTCAAGCATAAAATAACTATTTCTGTTACAATAATTCAAATTATCACAGTACTGGGATAAAACTAAAAGTTTATAAATACTGTAAGTTCGGATATAAACAATGATATGGTATCGAAGGTTTAAAGTATGATTGTATCACTATCAATTACATTGTTACACTAGTAGGGGCGAGATTGTGTGACATCGTTCATTTAAAAGATTGTTCAAAAACGCTGATTCAACTAGTAATGAAACAAGTGGAGTCTAAATGTGTAAGTCATTGAATCATTCATTGATCAAACCATTAATTTATTCAAATAAATAAATGAAAAAAATTAAATAGACTGCAACGACTAACATTTTGTCAGAGCCTCTCGTAAATGATGTTATTTTGTTTTGTTGTCCATTCAGAATGGTGGGAGGACAGCGATTTTTCTCATGATTCTCAATTTATCCAGAATTGTGCAGCTCTAATCTAAAAGGAAATCAATCAGCTTCAGAACGCTGCTAAAATATGACCTTGTCGAGCGTACAAATCTAGCTTATCAGGAACGTATGAATTTTGTATACAGAAAACGTCAACAGGGAAGACTCAAGACAAACATTCACCGGGAGAAAGAAGCTGGAAGATTTACAAGGACACATCTTGCAAAACAGAGCATTGAGGATCTTGGGAACCTCTCCCTTACCTTAGCAGAGGAGTAAAGGTGATAAAAATGGAAAGGATGCTTCTCTCTAGTGGATGGACACACTCATCGTTTGCTGTGTTACTTTCCTCCATACATCAACAGAAATTATGTGCTGATGCTATGCATCCATAACAAAAGCAAAATGGGTCACCATTCAGAAATATCATTTTATGAATGGGCCAAAGAACATAGCTATTCATAAGTAACTGGCCGTACCTGGCGTACTTTTTGAAACTGACTTTCAAACTAAATCTTTGACTAGTTTATAACGGCTTAACAACAAATTTCAGTCATGGTGCCTAAGGCTAAGACCATGTGTCCACCAAAGCGTTTTTCCACGCGCCTGGCGTATGTTTTCAATGGGAGCGCCGAGTTTTTTAAAAGCCATGAGTGTAACGAGGTGCTGAGCGTTTTTTTCACGCTGAAAGCGCAGAGCGCCCAGCGTTTTTTACAGGTCGCCAAGAGTTGAAAAGTGTTAAACTTAAAGGATAAAACGCAGGACTCATCACTGTCACTTTTTACCCAGCCATCCAATCACAGTGGGGGAGGGGCGGGACTAAACACACCAACCAACTGTCACAACATTCTTTCTGTACAACGACATCAACCAGCAGAGCTAACTGAACAAAATGGATGAAAAATACATTTTTAGTATGAAACAAATTATCTGCGAAATCAGTTACAAGTAAACTGTGCTGCGGATATTCTGCATCATAGCAACGAAACGTCTCAACGGAAAAAACGCTGCGCTGCCAAAACGCTTTCAAGCACCCACAGCACGCCGTCTTCAGCAGAGCGTCTAACATTGTCAGCTGGCTAAAAACGCTTTGGTGGACACACGGCCTAAGACCGTGTCCACCAAAGCGTTTTTCCACGCGCCTGGCGTATGTTTTCAATTGTTTTCAATGGGAGTGGTGCGTTTTTTTAAACGCTATGAGCGTAACGAGGTCCTGAGTGTTTTTTTTTCACGCTAAAGCGCTGAGCGCCCAGCGTTTTTTACTGGTCGCAGAGAGTTGAAAAATTTTCAACTTTGGATAAAACGCAGCACTCATCACTGTCACTTTTTACCCAGCCGTCCAATCACAGTGGAGGAGGGGCGGGACTAAACCACACTGACCAACTGTCACAACATTCTTTCTGTACAACGACATCAACCAGCAGAGCTAACCGAACAAAATGGATGAAAAATAAATTTTTAGTATGAAACAAATTACCTGCGAAATCAGTTACAAGTAAACTGTGCTGCGGATATTCTGTATCATAGCAACGAAACGTCTCAACGGAAAAAACGCTGCGCTGCCAAAACGCTTTCAAGCGCCCAAAACACGGCATCATCAGCAAAGCGTCTGGCGTTTTCAGCTAGATAAAAACGCTTTGGTGGACACACGGCCTAAGGGTTAGTTCATCTAAAATACAAAATTATTTCACCAGTTGTGTTTGTTCTCTCTTCATTAGAACACAAAAGTTCAACAGTTTGTACCAGGTGCTTTTTCCCCCATACGATGAAAGTTAATAGGGATGGAATGTTGTCAGGCTCCAAAACTGAAACAAGGGCACCATTAAACATACATTAAACATAGCTTATTGCACCACCAATATTACAATTCTGACCAATAAGCCAGTAATTATTTTCTTGGCAAGGCCGATAAATGGCTGACAATATAAATTCTACCTACACCAATGGGTTTAAATTAAATCAGTAATGACTAATAGCAATAGTTTTAAATGTTACAAGTAAATTTAGGCATCAGTTATAGAACTTATTATAAATAATGTATAACTAATTTTATTGCATGACTTTGCATGTCTATGGACTTTTTATGGTGCTTTTAACAAATTTAGCTCTTCAGCAACCTTTATTGTTTGGAAACGAGCACAAGGGACTATCTGATAAATTTAAAAAAATATATATATTTGCCCTCACGTTAGACCAGTTCCAAACCTGTATGATTTCCTTTCTTCTGTGGAGTTTGAGAAAATAGTTTAGTTACTAACATTTCTCAAAACATCTTTTATTTTTATCAGAAGAAAGACAAAGGTTTGGGAAAACACGAGCTAAAAATATTTTTTATAATTACATAATTAAACATTTTGGGGAGATACCTTTAAAAATGTACAAAACTGCAAAAAGAAAGATTATTCGAAGACTATGGGTTATTCACCAACCGCGAATGCACTCATTTGTGAGGGAAATCTGCCTAAAATTCCACGTAAAAAAAATATGATTAATTAATAAATCAATATGCCATTGTAAAAATGCTTGAGAATCGTTTGATCAAGAGCGCAGTGTCATATGTTTGCTGAGAGTGATGAAAGGCTATAATGGAAAGGTTGAAAGACCCACTGTAAAAAAAATATTGTTGGTTTAACTTAAAAAAATAAGTAACCTGGTTGCCTTTGAAGACTAAAATTTCATCTTTTAATATTATTTCATTATTAAATATTATGTATCTGTATTATTATTCTTTATTAGTTTTCATGATCACTGTATTATCCTTTTGGAGTTTCAAAAAGCATGAGTTAAAAGCATGAGGAACATATGTCAGGGGAAAGCTATATATTGCTCAGAGAGGTATGTGTGCCATGTAACATGTTCACTCAGCATAAATGTTTCCACTGATGCAAGTGTACCACAGATGTACACAACAAGGAAAGTAGCGCACGTATGACATTTACGTTCTAAGTTGAGAAGCTCAGAGCAACATGTTTGTTACCTTACAAGGAAGCTGTAAGACTGTGTGATGTATAAAACTCAATGTCACATTGTACCACCTCAGAGAAACATGTAGGCATGACCGGGTGAGAGGGTAGAGATACATGGAGAAACGCATAGACCAGGCATGAACACAACATCATGAAGTTTCTCTCCTGACATATATAATTTATAATAAAACGTTCTTGGCAAGATAACTGGTGTCCGGTCCCGTAAATTGAATAATAACGGGGAAACACAAGAGGCTTTAATTCCAAGTCTACATTTGGCGTCACGAGGAACAGGATAGCATTCAGACATTTGTCTCAATCATTCAAGGTAAGACTTTTTCCTATTCTAAAAAATAATTTGAAGTCTGCCTGATGATTGGACATTGACTGAAACTGCTTAAAAGAACTGTGTTGTTTAAAGTACCAGTTGTTTTGCCAATGAATATATGTCAGAAAAAGGAAAATAATTTAAATAGTTTGAATTTGATGTGGCTTATTTGAGTTGCTCTGTTCAGTAAACCTCTGAAATATTGAATGATGCTGGGGAAGTCTTTTTCATTTTTGAAAAGACTTTAGGAAAAGTGGATCTTTTTTAGAAAAAAGACCATTTAGTCAAATATTTGGAATAGCAGTAAAGCAATTTAGCAATTTGCTTGGCATGACTGGAAGGTGGTTGGAATATGGCGAGACTGTAAAAACTGATGGCAGATTAATCTCTAAAATATTTCCAACACACCGAAGAATCGTTTTAGAAAACGAGGATAGTGTGTCAAAGCGGTGATTTATAGCGGTTTAAAGTGGCGGGTCTGTGCTATAGGACGCACAGGATTCCGTATTTAGAAATACAGGCGCCCTAAAATTTTAAACACGCTGATTGAGCCCTTAGAAGATGGGTATCAATGGAAATAGGAGCTAGAATTGTGTGTTTTTTTCGATTTTGACAATAAGCTGTTCAGTATTGAGAGGAAGAGGTTGATCTGAGAGCAACTTCAAATAGACTAAATAAAATTTAAAAATAAAAATAGAGCAAACAAATACACAAAGAAAACAAATTATTAGAGTTAACTTTGTTTTGTTTTTTTTTGTTTTTGTTTTTCCTTTCCCCTTCTTTGTTCTTTGAGTATAAGAGAAGGCGAAAGGGAGAGAAGGAGAGAAGCAGAGAGAGAGGGAGAAGCAGAGGGACCCTCCCCCCCCCCCCCTTGGAATTCACGCACAGTAGATATACATCCACACACACACACACACACACACTCACTCCCAAAATATCACTGCTGTTTGAGTGCACAGTCACAGAGTGACAAATAATTTGCAATGGCAGAAAGTGGTCTTAACAGCCGAACAATAGCTGATTGGTATTTAAAAAGAAAACAGAAAAAGCAAGCTAAGCTTTTGAAAAAAGGACTGGATGTTAATGCATCTTTGGATGTGCAGCTAAGCTGGTTTGATTCGCAAAAAGACTCCATCAAGTCAAAAGCATTTCCAATACTGGCAGCTCATTGGATTGTGAAACAAGGTGGAATCTTCTGTGGCATTGATGGATGTCCAGCCCCACTTTTTGAAGCAATGAAGCCTCAATTTGAAGCATTTCACAAACTGAACAAAATTATGTCTATTAACTGTTCAGATAAAGAAAACACAACCAATGATAATTCATTTGATCCAGATTGGACAAATATAATAACTGAAGCTGAAAAGAGATATTCACAAGCACCAGTGAAATCTGCAACCACTGTAACGCCTCCACCTTACAAACCAATTTATCCACCTTTGCCTGAACAATATACAAGTTCATCTAAACCTCTGACGCAGCCTCAAGCTTTGAGATCAAATGGTCCAGTTGACAAAATGTATATTGCATCTGCACAAGCAGCTCCAATAATAACAAGATCTAAAACAGTTCATCCCAACAGAGACATGCTGCGCTGTACACCAGCTTGTAATTATGGATCCGACTGGGGTGATGAGACAAGAGATGACGACATGATCACAATTGACAAGATCGGTCCTGAACTTTCTTCACCAGTAATTAAAAAGGAAGGATCTGAATTAATGACAGAAGAGAGACCATTCACTCCAGGTGAACGACAAGCCATTCTCACAGCCTTGCCTCCTCTGAAGAGACAAGATCCAAACACAGAGTTTTGGCGAGAATTAGACTCTCTTGTCGAAGCACATCAAATGACACTACGAGACATTCACACCATTGTGAAAGCTAAAATCCCAAGAGACAGATGGGAACGCTTGCCAGCTTCAATAACAACTGCCCAATGGATAGATTTGTGGGTTGATGACCAGGGACGACCCCTGGGTCTTTGGCAAGCCTTAGATGTATTCCGAAAAGAAATCCAGGAAATCTTAGGCAGTGGTAAAATTCCCTTCACATTAGTGACATTGATTAAGCAAAAGGATGATGAATCTCCAGATGAGTATGCTCTACGTAAGTGGAATGCTTATGAGAGATGGGCTCTCTGTGCTAAGAAACAACCTGACAGAGATGATGTACAGTTCATTGACATTGTTCATTGTTCATTATCACTTGGAGTCAACCCAGGTGAGACATTTGACCAAATCATGCAATGGGCTGGCCGTTTGGAGATGGCTATGAGGTCAAACAAAGAAGAAGGAAACAAGCCATACCGAAGAGGAGTGGCGACAGCTCAATACAACAAAGACACAAAGAATAAGATGGTTTTCTGCAGCAATTGTGGAAAACATGGACACGTTAGACGAGATTGCTGGGCTAAAGGAGGTGGAGCAGAAGGTCAAGGTCCATCATTTAAACAGGTCAGTACCAAAGACTATAATGAAAATTCTCAAGAGAAGACGTTGACTGAAGCACAAGTCCGTCAGCTCATTGAGGGAATTATGCGTCCGCAATAGGAATTAGCGGCCCCCTGTATTAGTAAGAAAAAAGACAATCGCCTTTTCGTTAATGCATTAATAGGGGGCCACCCATGTGATGTTTTGGTTGACACAGGCGCCTCAATTTCAATAACAGATTTGAACCTACCTACAACAGATGAAACTATGGAAGTTGAAGGTGTTGGAGGTGGTATCACAAAATTTCGCAAAAGTATTCAAGTTCCACTGCAAATACATGAAGATGAAGTCTTATGGACATCTTTTTGGGTGGGGCCGAATTCACAAGGAAGCCTAATTGGCATGGACATTCTTCCATTGTTAAACATGATCATATTCACTGACAGTCGTCATATCACCACAACTGCTGGGATAATACCACACGAAGATCGCACATGTAATCTAAGGTCTGTTGGTACAGCAAAACCAATTATCAGGAACTGGACAAAAGATGGTGTGTGGGGTCTTCTATGCAGTTTATATCCAGATGTTTGGGCTAAACACAAACTGGATTGTGGAAAAGCCAATATTGACCCCATTGTTATTGAGGGACCGACACATGCCCCTCATAAACAATACCCTATCAGACCTGAAGCAAGACAAGCCGTTGAGGAGATAGTGGCTGACTTGGAAGCTGAAGGTATCATCAGACAAACGTCATCTACCACTAATAGTCCTGTCTGGCCTGTCAAGAAATCAGATAACTCATGGCGATTAACCATTGATTACACAAGACTTAACAGTGTAACACCAAAACCGCATCCTATTGTAGCCAATCCTGCCACTATTCTGAATGATATTCCAGGAAATGCTAAAATTTTTACGGTACTGGATGTACTGTCTGCTTTCTGGTCTATACCTATAGACAAAAGATCTCAAGAGAAATTAGCCTTTACAGTAGGCGCAAAACAATATGTTTGGAACAGACTCCCACAAGGTCTTAATATTTCTCCTGTTGTATTTCATAGAGCTTTGAACCAGTTCTTAACGGAGCAAAAAGCTGAAATTGAGAAATCAGGAAGTGTCTGCCTCCAATATGTTGATGACTTGTTGATTGCAAGCCCAGATGAAAGAAGCCATATATTTGCTCTGAATGTTGTCCTACAAGCCCTTAGGAAAGGGGGATTTAAAGTTAACCCCGACAAAGCACAGCTGGCCAAATCCAAAGTTATCTATTTGGGCCAAGAAATATCTATGGAGGGAAGGAGAATGACAACAGAGCGTGTAGAAGCATTACGACAACTTCCAAAACCTCTAACAGTTACAGGAATGCGAAAGGTGATGGGACTTTTCAACTATTGTCGTCAGTATATACCCGATTTTGCTAGCATCACCAGCTCTCTCATTGACCTGTACAAGGGAGGAAAGCCGGGAGTGGAACAGATTAACTGGACACCAGAAGCTGAGGAAGCGTTTACTTCTATGAAAGAAAAACTGACTTCAGCTCCAGCTTTGGGACTTCCCGATGGACGATTGCCGTTTCATTTGTGGACCAGTGTAGGAGATGAGACGTATTCAGCAGTACTGTGTCAAAAACCAGGTGATCGATACAGACCAGTTGGATACTTTTCCACAAAGATTCCTGTCACTATGATTGGGCAACCACGATGTATACAAGCTCTCGATGGTGCCACATGGGCAGTGGATGCTGTTGAGAATCTGATAGGAGCACAAACTATCATATTGCACACTCCACACAGTATAGTGACATTGTTGAACAACACAAACATCAAGACCATAACCGATGCAAGAAGAGCAAAATGGGAAGCTACTTTGTTGAACAAGGATTTGAGAGTGGAAATCATCAGAGACACGTCTCTTAACCCTGCAACAATGATGCTGGAACCACATGAGGGAATACCACATGAGTGTGTAAAACAAGTAGAAGAAGATAGTCTTGGTCCTGTTAATCCAATCCCTCTTGAAAATCCAGACAAGGAGTTATGGGTCGATGGATCCAGTTACTATGTTGATGGAAAACGACACACTGGATGGGCTGTAGTGCAAGCTGATGGAACTGTTGTGAAGAAAGGAGCTCTTCCTGGCAAACTTTCAGCACAAGTAGCCGAGCTCATAGCACTTACAGAAGCTCTTGAATTATCTGAAGGAGAACGAGTCAACATCTATACAGATAGTCGATATGCTTTTGGTGTGGTCCATGACTACCTTGCCCTGTGGAAGAGACGTGGACTCATCACCAGCAATGGGAGCGAAATACAACATGCTTCCATAATTCGTCGCTTGATTACAGCATGTCACTTACCTAGAGAAGCAGCCGTGATCAAAGTGAAATCTCATCAATCTGACAAGTCCAAAGAAACTCAAGGAAACACGGCAGCAGATGCAGCAGCTAGAGAAGCAGCTCTACTCCATCCTACTCCTGTTACCCTGGTAAAGGAAAATACCAAGGATAATCCTGAGCTCCATCTTCTGTCATATCAATTGGAGACAGATGAAGAGAAAGAACAATGGATAAAAGCGGGAGCGAAAGAGGATGATCAAGGAATCTGGAGAATTCCAACAGGACAAGTGGTGATGCCTATCGGAACAAGAAGAGAACTAATGCAGCTGTATCATGGAAAAGTGCATGCTGGAGCAAAAGCAATGAAAGCTCAAATCAGTGAAACTTGGTGGTGGCCAAGAATGATGAGAGACATTGATGATTATTGTAGAAGATGTTTGATATGCCTCAAAGCAAATGTGGGAAAATCTGTAAAGGTGCGAATGTCACATGCACCTAGACCAACAGGTCCGTGGACACATCTCCAAATTGATTTCACAGGACCTTTGTCACCTAGTGGAGGGTATCAGTATATACTTGTAATCATGGACAGATTTACAAGGTGGGTGGAAGCATTCCCAACGAAAACTTGCACTGCTGAAGCGGCTGCACGAGTGATGGTTGAAGAAGTTTTTCCTCGCTGGGGTCTTCCATATGAACTCGATTCTGACAATGGAACTCACTTCACTGGAAAACTGATGAAGGAAGCAATGAAGTTGATGGGGATTAAACAGAAGTTTCACATCCCATATAGACCTGAGTCTTCAGGCTAGTGGAACGGATGAACAGATCGTTGAAAACCGCTCTTACCAAGGCCATTCTGCAAACTGGCCAAGGATGGCATAAGTTGTTACCCGCAATTTTGTGGAATCTGAGAGCAACCCCGAACAGAGTAACGGGACTGACTCCTTTTGAACTGATGACTGGAAGAGCAATGGTTCTGCCTCCTGATGCTCCGCCGCCTGCGGGAACAGGAGGAGACTCTACTTTGTTCCAAGAGAAGTTACGACGTTATCTCACAATGCTGGACAAAGCAATCAAAGACAATAATAAGAAAGTGCGAGAAGCTCAACAGCAATGGGATGAAAAACATACCACTACTGACATTCCACACATTCCCGAGTTAGGCAGTTTTGTTATGGTCAAACGTATTCCCAGGAAAGGTTTAGAACCTAGGTGGGAGGGGCCATATGAGGTACTCTTAACAACAGATACAAGTGTTTGTCTCAAAGGGAAAGGTGTAGGAACAGATAGATGGTATCATTGGTCACAAGTTAAACCATGCTTAGTGAATGAACAAGATGATAATGATGGCTTATGGCCTGAGATTGAGCAATGTTCATCCATTATTTTTAAAGATTGGGAACAAAGAAGTGATGCTAATTATTCCTTTGCTTCCATTTCAGGAATCAATTCCATTGACATTGATTAGAGATGGTTGCAAGTTATTCTCGATACCCAACGATGATGGTATGCTTATTTTTAACTTTACTTGGCATTTGTCAAGAAAGCCACGCTTTATGGACTCCTCGAGTTCAAGAGATCACTCGGAGTGCAACTCTGAAATCTGGTCAACATTTTACCCTACCCTTTATTTCCAGATGGGGATTATGGGATTGGGTGCCACGTAATGACACAGACCTTGCTAAATATCGTAAGGGCATCTATGGAGGATGTAACTTTTACCACCAATGTTACAAAAGCAGAGTAATTTGGCCGGTAAAAGACGGGGGGTATACTGGTAGTGCTCAAAGACGAGAAATTTGTGCAAGAGAACGATGTGAAGTTATAGGGTTAAACCTCATAACATCTACTAATGTGGAAATTAATTTAGTTCTGAATCGTACCCACATGCTTACAATATGGGATTCATTGGCCGAAGGGTGTATTTATCCCATAGGGTTGCCATGCGAAGGGTTTCTGAGGGATCCTTCCTCAAAAACAACAAGATTTAAGGGAAATTATGTACGAGTATGGCATTCAGAAGATGAGAGTGAATATTGTGAGACTGAACTAGAAACTGGCGAAATCGGAAGGTGTTTTTATCTTTCTGCGGAAAAGACAAACAAAGCAAAAACATGCCCAAATACAACCATTGCACCAGCTCATGGTATTTTGTTAGCAAAAGAAACCAAAACCTTGATAAATGAAGCCCATATGGTGCAACAACGAATTAATTATAACTTGAATTCTCTTCTTACCGTTTTTGATCAGTCTTATTGTGGTAATTTTACACAAATAAGAAGTTGGTTGGGAAAAGAAGTTAAATATTACACCTCTAAAAATCCTCTGAGTAGAAAAAATCGTAAAACTCGAAGTATATGGGGAGATATTGCGGGGGTATTTGGTTCTGTCAATTCAATCAGTAATACTGCTCAAATGAATCAGTTAAGTAAATACACTCAGTGGGTGGGAACAATGAGTGGGAAAGGACTCACTGAGGCTCTTCAGGGTTCTCTGCATATTATTGCAGCGGGTCAGCATCTTAATGATGCTGCAAAGGAATTGGCAGATGCATTAATAAAATCGTCTGATTTTGAGACGCATCGTGCGGCGTGTTTATTTTTAGCTCAGAATTTAAAGGATCAAATGGTAGAAGATATTCAAGTTATTCGAATGGGACAAGTTCCTGAGCGAATAGCAGAATCATTGTTAGTGGTTTTCAGGAATCAACTTAATTTGACTTCTGCTAAACATATTCCATTAGTTAAAATCGCTATTAATGAAAATTCATTGTCAGGTTCTGGAATGTTACCTTTGATTATGATATGGCCTCAATATGGGAAGCGTAATATTATGACAGTCAGGAAATTCCAATCAATGGGTGTTAGGCAAGGTAATTCAGTAATTAGATTAGGAAGAAATGGATATTGGGCTGAAGGTGATACACCAATGATTTCTACCACAGACTGTTGTGTCGAGGAACATGAGTGGGTAATTTGCTCATGCTCTACAATGTTTAGTCTATCTCTTAATGGTTCTGCTGTTTGGGATGTAGTTCCTTTGAGTCAGGCCACAGGTGCATGGCAACTTTCAGAAGCACAGTGGTGTATATTACATGATGGAACAAGTGAAAATATGATATACGGGGGAAAGTTGTGTCCAATCCCTCCTGATCCATTTTGTCTTGAAATTCTCTATCCTCTTCATTTGGGTGGAATTCATGTTCCACATGTGCAATTGTTACAGGTAGAACCACAATGGTGGAATAATGACTTAGTAGAAGAACGGAATTATGAACTCTTTGAGATGGTTAAAATAGTTAGAAAGAGTGTAAAAGCAGCTCAAGACGAGGGAATTCAAGCAATGGGTCATGTTATAGTAGCAAATGGAATAGCTAAATTGATGTCTGAAAAGAAACTAACACGAATCCTAGGGAATTTATCGTGGTCAGATTGGATAGTTTTGATCATGGTAGGAGTTCTTGCAGTCATGTTCATGATTCAAATTATGATATGTGTTACTAGAAAAAGAAATACCAAATCTGTCAAACTGATTATTTCTAACCAAATGGATAAAACCAAGGATGGAGTATACAGCGTGAAATAGGGAAATGTATGCATTATTCCTTAGAAAGCATTACCTCACAAACAATGAACACCCGCTTACTGATTTTCAACCCCAAGGGATAGGACCCTTTTACATCAACGTTTATTTTAATTTCTTATTTTGGCTCGGAACTGGGGGATTTAATTAGTTACGAGTTAATTAATTAATGAGTCCAGGCACGAGCAGAAGAATTATTAGTTTTTATTTTCTTAGATGATTGGGGTTCATTTTAAATACATACACATAGATATTAAAACACACATAGTATACGGGGACATAACACGGGTTGGGGTTTTGTTCTTTTTGTTCTTTGTTTTGTTTTTCCTTTTCTATTCTTCTGTTCGTTCTGTCTATTTCCTTGGTCTGCTATTTCTTCTCCTCACTATCACTTCTATAGGTTGGCCACCTGGGAATGATGGTGTGGAACTTACGGCCGTAGTTCCAGTGGAGGGAGATGAAGACTAAAATTTCATCTTTTAATATTATTTCATTATTAAATATTATGTATCTGTATTATTATTCTTTATTAGTTTTCATGATCACTGTATTATCCTTTTGGAGTTTCAAAAAGCATGAGTTAAAAGCATGAGATGAACATATGTCAGGGGAAAGCTATATATTGCTCAGAGAGGTATGTGTGCCATGTAACATGTTCACTCAGCATAAATGTTTCCACTGATGCAAGTGTACCACAGATGTACACAACAAGGAAAGTAGCGCACGTATGACATTTACGTTCTAAGTTGAGAGGCTCAGAGCAACATGTTTGTTACCTTACAAGGAAGCTGTAAGACTGTGTGACGTATAAAAACTCAATGTCACATTGTACCACCCTTAGAGAAACATGTAGGCATGACCGGGTGAGAGGGTAGAGAACATGGAGAAACGCATAGACCAGGCATGAACACAACATCTTGAAGTTTCTCTCCTGACATATATATAATATATAATAAAACTTTCTTGGCAAGATAACTGGTGTCCGGTCCCGTAAATTGAATAATAACGGGGAAACACAAGAGGCTTTAATTCCAAGTCTACAATCCCCTTCTCAGATGGACGTTTGCATCTCTTCAACTCTCTTACAGTGATGCATTCACACTCGGAACCTTCTTCACACTCACTTGGGAGAAAAGTGCTCATGTTCACTGTCCGTTTTACCTTCAGACTATTTCTCTTTTTATGTTCTTCTCTTTTTGAAATTTGTATTCTGTCCTTGATGCAAGTAGGTTGCACCTCAACACAGTTAAACAGGATGAGGGTTAAAGAAAAAGTCGAAACCAAATAAGTAATTTTTCTGTGTTTTACATTGAAATCTTCAGTCCCAATGTAATTCTTGTGAAACTACAAAAGAAACAGAGCATGTACATTAAGTATTAAGTAATTAACTAGTCATTCTGACTCACCAGTACAGAACAGTTGGCTAGCAGGAAAGACTGCAACAGGGGTGGAGGGGCTAGTTACAGAATAAAGATAAAACAGCCTGATGGTCCATGGTGGTAGTGGGGAGTGGGGGTGGTGATGGTTATGGTAATGACAATGGTAATAAATAATAAATGGTTACTTTGTTTATGCATACACACACTTACACTTACACATACCCACACTCACACCCACTCACATACACACTTAGATCAAACACTTAAATCACTCTTATGTCACTTCTGGAATTATGAAATTACAAGATTGCTCACTACTGCACTATGTTGGTTTGCATGTATGTCTGACTGTTAAATAAAAATAATAATAATAATAATAATAATAAAAAACAGCCTGATGGTCCACCGAGAGGCGGATGGAAGATGGACCAAACAGGACTACAAAGAAAAAGAAAATGCAGCTGTGGATGGACCAAAGTGACCACATATCTTGGCCTTCGAATCCATCAGCGGAAGGTAAAAACACCCAGGCGCAAGCTTGCACTGCAGCAGCAGATCAGACAAGGAGGTACAGTATCCTGATCGAGCACAAGTGGATATGAATCATCCGCCACAAATTCAGCAGCCAGTATATTGGTGACACCGCAAGTGATGAGCACAGAAGAGCCACAGCCACGATACCTTGATGGAAAGTCAAGGTCAAGGCTGAAAGCCAGTGAAAAGGATGAGTGTTGAATCTTAGACGAGAGTCTACATACATCCCTCCAGAATGCCCTGAAAGGCAACACAATTGCTAAGCTGAACATCTTCGGTGATTTCATCTACGAAGAGGCCAAACGAGGATTTGGAGAGCTGCAGCAAAGGAAGAGCCTTCCAAAGCAGTGTGGTAGATTGGAGAGGGAAATACACCAGCTAGTGAAAGAGCGCCGCCTCCTGTGAAAAGCATGGAAAAGATCAGAGGACCACGAAAAGGAGGGTCTCAAAAAACTGTGGGACCACATCCGAGTCAAACTTGGACTGTTGAGAAGAGCAGAGAGGGAGGTGCAATTAGAGAGCAAGGTCAAGCTTCTTCCGTGACCCTTTAAAAGCATGTGGGTTGCTGTAGGAAAAGAAAACAGGGACTCTGCACATCACTGAACAGGAGATGGAGGACCATATAAAAACCCAGACAAGCTTCAAACTTCGGGAGCCCCATTGGTTCACCTGGCTACATTGCTAAACCACCTGAGTCATCATCAAAGTTCGATACCACCCCTCCAAAATGGTCGGATATCAATCAAGTGGTGACTCGAGCAAGAGTTGCCTGGACCAAATGGGGTATCATACAAGGTCTACAAGAGATGCCTCATAAAAATTCGAAGAAATTCATATAAATATTTTAAGTGAAGTGTTTAACAATGAAGCTTTACAGTATGACATATATGATGGATTACATATTATATAAATTATATTAGTTTTAACTACCATCAATGTTTTCCTCCAGCAATGAATGAATGCTCTAGTCACAGAACAAAAAAAAAAAAAAAATGTTTGATATATTGTAATTGTAATTATGTGGAACATGATGGAACATGAAGAATTACTTTATTAAATCTTTATGGATTTTTTTTTTTTTTTAAGGTGGACATTTGTATGTAGGCTATAATAATAATAAACAATATAATAGTATCTCAAGGAAAAGTTGGATGCGAATAAATTTGACATTCAAGATGTGAGTAAATTTCAATATGCTCATTAGAGTTGCATCCTATGAGCTAGAATTAGTCTTGGGCATAAACAATAACAAAAGCACATTTACATTTCCAGAATACATTCCTACATTTATCAAAAAAAGACATGAGACTGAATAAAACATTATGCTTGCAACTAACTTGGATGGAAAAATAGTTAGTCATGTTGCTGCCCTTTTAGAACTTTCTCTTTTTTTGTGCTCAAAACCATACACACATGAATCAGTTTCAGTGTGAATTACAAAATATATTTACAGCAAAACTGTATTCCAATATGCAGCATAACCTTTATGTAAATAACTCAATTCAATCACTGTTATCAAACATGCTCAATTGTCAGCGGGGTTTTAACTGCCATAATGTGATTTATGGGGTGTGTGCTGCGATTAGACAAACTTCCTTGTGCAGGAAGCATGCAGCTTGTCAATAAGGAATGAAAAAGCGAAGCTATCACTGTCATCAGCTATTTCTAAACACTGAGCACTGTTTAAAATCACTCATGTGGAGTTATGGTTTTAGTGAAGTAATGAGATTTTCGGCTAATTCCCCCCTGAGGAGCGTTAATTGTAGAATAAATAATGTACCGTCAATACAAGACCCATGGGTTTTGTTAGGCCACAATATACTTCTACTGTTGTTTATCTACCCTATATCTGTGTGTGTTTTTAATATTGTGAATACTGTGAATTTTGTGATTTTTTGAGTAAAGTAGATTGTATGTATTTGGACTCTCTGCCTTTAGCTCACTCCTCTCGGGATGTAGCCATATTAATTAAGTGCATTCATGTCTGACATTTCTTTGCACTGGCAACGTCTGCACACTCATTGAGGGAGACCAGGCAGGAAGATTACAGCCTGAGGGCAGCCAAGACTCATCTCTCCCCCACACTTTTTTTCCCTTCGTACACTCACAAAAACTCCAATACGGGTTCGAGAGGTTGTGTGCCATGTGGCCTAAATTACCTCTGACTGAGAATCATAACTATATAGTTGGCGCTCTCTGCACCCCTAAATGAGATGTATACCATCTCTGACTGCAATTCAGCACTGCTGTTAACCACACACCTTTGCAAAACATATTTTCCATATACACATAAATGGATACTTGTTTTGTGATATGTTCAAACCTTTATCAAACATACCACTTGTGTACTTTTAAGAAAAAAATAATTTCCATATATATTTTCCATATACATTTTTATGTTCAAATTTATCCAGCAAGGATGCATTCAAATGATCAAAAATGACATATATTGAAATGTATTAAAAAAGAAAATGTTTTTTATTGTAATAATATTTCACAATATTCATGTTTTTACTGTTTTTGATCAAATATGCAAAAGGCTCAAGGAGAATTGGGGGGGCTGCTTTCCAACAGGTTTTTATCATAGTTTTTCAGAGAAACCTAAAGTTCTTGGGACAGCAGCATTTGTCCAAATTTAAGTCTTAACTGTTCTATTTAATTAGAAACGATCTTAAAACAGGGATTTAAGTGAACTAACCCTTTAAGTGAAAAACCCTTTGTCCTTTAAGAACTCTTGGCCATGAACCCATTCAATAAGTTCCAACGAGTGCACCTATGGGTGTTTTACGATTATTACGTTTATAGAGCTGTCAAGAATCACCTACATTAATATATATCATTCACCTTCAGGATTCATACAGAGAGAACAACATGTCCCGTTGACAGGGAAAGTAAATGAGCTACTCTCTAACTGCCCATTTTTCAAACGACTAAAGAGTAAATCATTTCTTAATTACCGGCTCATTCCACCTCGACGACTGACCCTGAATGCGGTTCGATATAGCTCCCGTTAAGAAATGTAGAAGGTAACGAGAACATTTCTCACAATTTCACTGAACCTGACAATGATGGGTCAGTAACTCACTCTGAAGTCCCTCAAGGCAAGTCTGTTCACTCTGTGGCCATTTTCGTGATGCCCCCTGGGCTGCTATTTCTAGTCAGGCAAGTGCAGTTCCTACCTAGTTGAATGTTAGATAGACCGTAATCTCTGTAAGTGTCTCTTGAAATAATCCAATAATAATTGAATAATTTCAATAATATTTCCAATCGGAAATAAAATCACTTCTTAAACTTAAATCACTTTGTGCTTTTTTCAGCCAGCTAAAGCACATTCTACCGCTGGCTCTTTTGCATTGTTAGTTTGTCATTGTCAATAGTAGCATACTTTGCGTTGACAATGGGCTTTTTTGGTCTTTCTTGATAAAGTTAGGATGGTTATCTAAAAAAAAATGTGAAAAATATCTGTCAGTCTTGTTTTAAATATACCTTAAAAGCAAATGAAATCTACCAGCACAGGGCAAAACTACAATATACAGTTTTAAACAAGTCTTAGTTAAAGGGATAGTTCACCCAGAAAATTATGCCATCAGGTATATTTATTCACCCTCATGTCATTCCAAACCCATAATACTTTCATTCATCTTTGGAACACAAATAAAGATATATTATTTTGATAAAATTTGAGAGCTTTCTGTCCCTTCAAAGACAGTCTACGGAACTACCATATCTGTTACCTTCTGTAACATCGGTTCTCTCAGAGGGAACGAACATTGCATAAGTTAGCTTTGGATATGGAAAGATAAATCTTTTTGAGATATTGAAGCCAAAAAAATTATCTTTAATTTTGTATTGATTGTCAATGCAGTGCAGCATCTAGCAGACCTAGAGCAGGCTGTAGCATTCTCATTGGCTGCCAACTGCAGCAGCCTACCACTGAGCCCGGCAGTGACAGAGATTAATATTTCCGTATGTAAAATTACAGGACTCTGATGAAGATGTAGTTTTACATCGAAACGTTAGTCAAGTCACTGTTATGCCCCTCAAATAAATTTGTTACCAAGA